GAGTGTTTATCACAACGTGTTCGGTGTTGATGAATGTCTGAAGAACCAACGTTACTTTGGATCATTTATTGTTGATATTCAATGATTAATGAGCCGTCTGTCGTTATAAAAAGAAACAAATTGTTTCTAGCCGCATCGGTTAGATTTTCCCAATATTTCTTGTAATCAGCTGAGATTCTGTGAGTTCATCATGCTGCTGTAGACCTAGACCTCCTATGTCTCTCACAGTACTTTAAGACCTTATTACATGTGCAATCCATGGTGCAGTGTATTACCGATAAATACAATAATGGGTTAACCTGTAATGTTACCGGATAGTCTCATATGAACTATGGTTATTTCGTCATTGTTTATTACCGCATTGTGCATGCCTGTTAACACATCTCTATTCATTTAATTAAAAACATCACACCAAAAACATTGTCCACTTGTATCGAGTACATTGGATGATACAGATAGAAGTTTTTGATATGCATTACATACATCGTGTAAAGAAGTGCAGTCATATTTACATACATACTATATATAGGGTTGACTGATGCAGTCATTTACATACTTCATATTTGCATAATTCTATATATGGTTGACTAATGCAGTCATTTACATACTTCATATTTGCATAATTCTATATATGGTTGACAGATGCAGTCATTTACATACCTCATATTTGCATAATTCTATATATGGTTGACAGATGCAGTCATTTACGTACCTCATAATTGCCTAATTCTATATATGGTTGACAGATGCAGTCATTTACATACCTCATATTTGCCTAATTCTATATATGGTTGAGTGATGCCGATATTTACATAACTATAATATGATGGTGTTATTTGCATAACTTAAAAAGTATAAGGAATCTCAACTGGTTAAAATAAAACGTAGTCGATATTTGACATTCTGTTCTAAAATTGTTTATTTCAATTGTATTTGAAACTTTATGTAGCCAATATTTGGCTTTATAAAAAACAAACTGTTCATAAAAACTTATCACCAATTTTGATTGACATGAATGATTGTAAATACTGTAATATGTTGTATTTCAAATCATGTTATTGAAATTAAATGATACAAGTTATATTTTCACTGTAATGTTACTTGTCATTATTTTCCCTACCACACTCACTACTTGCTTGATTGCATCTTGAATTTGTGACCTTGCTGATTTCATTCAGGTTATTGAGTTGGTAATGTACGCAACCTTTGAAATATATATTACTGTGGAGTTGTATGTCGAAAGGAAGGAGCATACATGTTTCAAAATTCATATTTTATATATATATATATATATATATATATATATATACCCAATATGAAAATATATTGCTAATTCAAAATTTTGAGATTGCCTTACCATTTTGTGAATGACATTTTATAGAAGCCTGTTCAGATGTACTGTGAAAACAGATGTTTAGTTTTGGGTTTGATGTATCATTTTTGAGACTTATAAACTATATTGTATAAATCAATATGAAATCTTGGTGTAACTTGATTATCATTTATATGAGGCAATACATGATTCGGCCTGTGGTAGTTTGTGCAAAGTGAAAGTTGATTGGAAACTTGGCTTGGAAAACTAAAAATTGGTAGAAAAGTTGCAGAAGTTGGCTAGAAAGCTAATTTGATTGTGAGCATTTTATTTTTTGACTTCTCAGCTAACTTTACAAAGTTGTAGAACTTGAACAGAAAGTAACCAATGATAGTTTGATGATTCTCTGGCTGAGTTTTGATGTTCACACACAAAAAAACAAAATTAACCTCTGGCCAAGACAACTATGTTTCAAAATAAAGACTTAAGGGTTTCAAGAGCCCAATGATTTGGAAATTGCTGTTTAAAAGTACTTTGATAAAATGAAGGATGCCCTCATTTTTGAAGTATTTAAAATTGGCAATCTTTAAAAATTGTTCAAAAAGTCAGAAAATTATAGCTTAATTTGGGTTGCAAAGTTGCAAGGCTGTGCTGGGAAATTGAAAATGTTGGATGGAATGTTGAGAGATTGATTGCGAAAGAAAGATAGCTAGAAAGGTTGGTTGAAATGTCAAAACAGTTGTAGAGTTGAAAAACTGAAAAATATGTTGCAAAGGTTAGCTGGGAAGACAAAACAATTCGTTCGAAAATCATACATCAAGAGTGGTAAATTGGAAAAACAACATTTCAAGTTGCAAAAGCATAGTGTAAAGTCGAAAAATGAGTTGCAAATTTGCGTGGGAAAGTTGTATAAAAAGTTTGAAAAGCGGTCTTTGAGTTTCGGCAGCAATGTCAAGTAATGTTTTGAAAGGAGGGAAAATTGTTCGGGTGCGGGAAAAGTCATCTGCAAAGTCGTGAAGGTGGAAATCTTGAGAAGGCAATAATGTCGGCATAATAAAAGAAAAGGTGTTTTGAATGGCGGTAGCAAAGCGATTTGAAAGACAGTAAATTTGTTTGAAGAGTTGCATTGAATGGCGGAAAAATTGTTATAAAGTTTCAAAATTTGTTTGGGAAGTCAAGATGTTCACTTGGAAGAGTTCATTGAACGGTTCGCAAAGCGTTTTTTGAAAACAAATTTATGTGGAAAGTCAGAAATGTTGAAGTTGCATTGAAAGAAAATTGTTACCTGTGAAGTGAAATTTGTTTTGGATGGCAGGAAATTCGTATGACAAGTGTGCAAAGCGGTTTAAACAATTTAGAAATTCGCCCTGTAAGTCATAAAATATGCTGGAAGGCAGGAAAAATATGAATCAGAAAAGAAGCTTTGGGGTGACAAAAGTCGTCTGTAAAGTCAGAAAAGTGGCTTTGGAAAGTGGTAAAGTTGTTTAAGAGGCTGGCAAATTCATCTGCACTGTCGTAAACGTTGCATTGAAAGCGCCGAAGTCACGCACAACTCCAGTAATAGTTCGAAATGTTGGAAAAGCCAAGAAAGTTCATTTTGGAAGACAGTAAGGTGTTATAATATAATGTTTGCAAAATAACAAGACAAGAAAATCGTCTACCAAGTAAAATAGTTGCTTTCAAATTTTGATAGTTGTAAGCAAGGTGATAAAGGCTGCTTTGAAATGCGGTAAAGTTGTTTGAAAGATCAAAAATGTCGTCTACAAAGCCGTAACATTGATCAGAAAAGACAAAAAAGTGAATTTGGATAACGGAGGAGGTTATTTGGAGTTTGAAAAAGTTGCCTTTCATTGTAATTTGGTAAAGCGGCTTTAGAGGACAATAAATTCGTGAGTTGCATTGAACTCCTGCAGTTGTTAGAAAAAGTATTTCAGGAGGTCGGAAGAGTTGCATTCATTTGAAAGCAGAAAGACTGCGGAAGTTTGCAAAGCAGTTGGAGACGACAAGAAAGTTGTGAATTCCACAAAGTTACTATGAGTAAGTTGTCGAAAGAGTTCTTAAAGTAGTTTGAAAGGTTGTAACTGTCACGGTTGTCTTTAAAGTCACAAAATGTTGAAAATAGTTTAGAACGTTGGGGAAAATTACTATCACCAATCTAAATAACTTTTTGAAAATATGTGAGCAGAACGCACAAAGTATTGTGTTTAGTACCTCTACTTAGAATATGACATTCTGTGTATCAGCATTTGTAGGCCTTCTGCACTTATCTAACCTTTTGGTTTCAAATGTAGCAAGTTTTGATACACATAAACATATTTGCAGACAGGATCTCCAGATTCAGCCCTGGGGTATACTCCTATATATTAGATGGTCTAAAACCATTCAGTTTCAACAACGTGTTCTGCTGGTTCCACTGCCTTTTATTCCGGGCCACCCCCTGTATCCTACATCAGCTCTTTTAAAATATATCGTTTTTTCTGCAGGTGCACCTGCCAGTGGTCCAGCTTTTTGTTACCCCTTTTCATCCCGTTTCCCACCTCATACTCTCAATATTTATCGATCTCGTCTTCATTTGATCCTAAACACTCTCGGGATTGCTGCTTGCTGCCAAAGTGTCAGGCCATGCTTCTATCAGGGGGAATTCTTCTTCTCTTGGTTCTCCACACGTGTCAGGGGGGAATCTCGTCTCGTCTCTCTATCTCTTCCCCTTGTGGTATGGGATTGGAGAAGTCACTTAAACTTTACACACACACACACACACACACACACACACACACACACACACACACACACAACGAAATACGTTTCAACTCTCGTCTTAGTCGGCCAGTCGAGCACTTTGTAAGACACAGTGCCCTGGGGAAAAATCCCCAAAACTATCGCAAGGCTGACCCAAGACTCTCCTAGACTGCGTCAAGACTCGCCCCAAGACTCTCTAAGACTGCGTCTCAAGACTCGTCTAGCCTCTCCAAGACTGCGTCTGTCCCGGTGTGCTCGCCAAGACCAACTAAAAACAACTTTATTCATTTTCAAAACCTTAACCAATTACAAAGCAGTTTAAAGACTCTAGGGCGTAACCTTCAATCATACAGCCAATCACACTAAGTACTGAACACGTCATATCTTTTGATTAATCGTTCACTACGAATACTAACTGTCAGAAATAGTAGTCCAAATAGCGACGGTTATCTCGTAATTAGTTCCAAATCACTGAGCCAAGTTCCGTCCAGAACCTCGCCTAAACGATGACAGACATAACACAGCCATTCACTCGTAATCAGCTAATTAAGTCGATTAATAGATACGCAAAAACAATTTCATCACACTTCTGAAGTGTGGGGGGTGCAACTTGGGCACTCCAATGCGGTATACCAGGTGAAATTAAGTACTAGGAGACTGGAAAAGCTCTGCATATCTCTCCTATGTTCAAGATGTTAGCCTTCAACAACGTATATCAGCTATGTCTACTTTTACCCTACAACTACCACTACCACATTGAGTTTTTTGGTCACATCTTTGGGAGAAAGTTCTGTTCACATTCAGTTTGTTTTGTTTGCGAATTAATTTTAATATTAAAGAACTTATCCCGAGTGTACCAAAGAAACTCTTGTGTGCATAGTCTCGCTTTACTGTTAACTATGTGATAATTTACAGGAAATTGCAAGTAGGCAATAGCGTGTTTGCTCACATGGAGCCCAGGAACTATAATCAACTTAAAAAACGGTCAGAAAATAAAAAGTGGTATGACAAGTCATGTTATATTCTAAGACGTGACGTTATTGGTATGGGTAAGCTTCTAACTAAGTACCCCAGGGAACCCTATGTTAGAAATAGATATTTCCAGTTGAAGAAAGATTATAAAAAAATAGTTAAACGCAAAAAAAGGGATTATAAAGAGGAACTTCTAAATAAAATTATAGAAGTTGAGAAAAATGATCTTGAGGAATTTTGGAATACAATCAAGGAGTTAAAAACTAATAGTGCATTACCCTCCAATAGTGATATCAATAATAGTATTTGTGTAGAAGAATGGGTGAAACATTTCTCAAATCAAAATGTTAAGTACTGCAATGACAGCTCATTAGATACAGAAATAAATGAGTTGGAAAATAATGCAACTAACAATGAATTAAATAATAATATTAGTATAGGTGAAATTATTAAGGCTATTAAACAGCTTAAAAAGAAAAAATCCGCTGGTAAAGATAAAATCATAAATGAAATGATTATTTATGGTCAATCAGTTCTGTTAGAGCCAATTAAAAAATTGTTCAATGATATTTTTAATGCAAACAAGTTTCCGGATAATTGGCGTACTAGTACCATTAACCTATTTTTAAATCGGGTGATAAAAATAATCCAAATATTATAGAGGGATAGCTCTTTCAGCTGTTTAGCCAAAATTATTTACATCTGTACTAAACAAACGTTTATAAATATGTGGAGGCAAACAATATTCTGAGCCCTTGTCAAACTGGATTTAGGCCTGGGTACAGAACAACTGATAACATGTTCATTCTTAAAACTGACATTGACAAATATATCAACAATACCGAGAATAAAAAAAGGGTGGTGGTATTTGTTGCTTTTGTAGATCTTAAAAAAAAACCTTTGATAGTGTATGGCGTAAGGGGCTTTATTATAAAATACTGAAAAACAATATCAATGGTAAATTATATAATATAATTAAAAATATGTATGAAGATGTTAACTATGACATAAAACTAAATAATGGTATTACCAAACAGTTTAAATTACTCAGACGTGTCAGACAAGGTTGTATCATTAGCCCCATATTGTTCAATCTTTTCTTAAATGATTTCCCAGATAAATTGGATGAGACATGTCAGCCTGTTAATCCTTGTCAGTGGTGGAATATTGTATATTGCAATATACATGTTAGTTTTCTTTATTGAAAAATATCACAGCTTCCATGCCCACATGGATTCAACTCATTGTAGTGAATTTTACAGAGCTAAATCAAAAGCAGACCGGCCAAGAGGTACGTAAAGTCGCGATTTGACAACCCGTCAACACCTCGAGTCAGACGGCTGTCACCCTTTGTATCTTAGTAATTGATGGATAGTCTTCGCCAGTCCTTTTACGGCCAAATAAACACAAGGTGCAACGAAACATTAGTTCTTTTACTTACTGGGATGTAACTTTTACTTACTTCTGTTACATCCGAGTTAACGTATACCAATTTCACTATTGTCAAGTAATATGAGAGGGTGCACTAGAAACTAGCTAGGATACTAGTATATACCGGTACATCCCAGTTAACGTATATGCATTCTTTCTACCTTATACTAAAATATGAAGTTACACAGATAGGGGAAATGTCTCATGGCATGGAAAAATAATGCTTTCTATTGTCCATGTTATATTTTATAAATAGTTTGAGTGTTTATGTATTAAAATATGCAATCATAGTACACATGCAAAGTAAACAAAATTATGTGAATTCGCATTGGTGGTGGGAATTTCCATGCCAGTTTATGTTGTGAACAAATATTTTCGTAAATAACACTAATTCTCATTAAAGTGTATCATTTATGCATATAATTACATATCTCATATACTTTGTATCATTTTAATTATACATTGTATTCCCAGACTAACACATACAACATTAGATTCTCAACTCCGATGAAAAGACAAGTTTCTGCCGCGAAAGCCAATCATCGCGAAAGCCAACCATTGCGAAGCTACTAGTTTTGTTGAACAAAAATATGTAGCAAAAATCTTAAAATCCAGTGTTTATGTAGTCCCTGACTGGACACAGTCCGTGGAGTGCTTATGGATTGATACCAGTATCTCAGAAGTTTTGGAAGGGTTTTTCCCAAACTTCGTGCATGGTTGATAAATGTGTACATATGGCGCTAATTTCTTTTTCTGTTCGGATACAAAATGGTCGACTGGCGGCAATATTTAAAGCGGGAGGGTTGTCACCTGCGCATGCGCAGGAATTGAGTTCCAAGCGGTGATAACAACACACGCTAAAAACGCAAAGGCTCACGGGTAGACGCTTGTTTGTAAACAATGATACGCTATGGCCATCTGACGCATGCGCAGGTGCGACTTTCCATTTCAACCCCAAAATAGCCCTGAAACCCTACATTTTACATGTGCACACAAGGCATTTTCTAGTTCCGTTGACCGATTCTGTTCAAACTCGGAATATGGCTGACTGTTGGCATAATGAGGCACATCTATTATTTTTCATTTTTGTCATAATTGGTGACTGGTGGACATTTCGTTCGTCAAACATACTTATTTTTCTTCTAACTTGAGATTGTAATTCTTAAGTTTATTCACATTGTAAAGATGCAATACATTATTTCATGAAGATGCAAGTTAATGTTGGTACTCACTAAAACGAAGGACCGCGAAGGACCGAAGCACAGTCAGCTGGCGCACACGTGATAATAAAATAAAAACGATATTTACTATATGGGGGCCGCCATCTTGAATGACGCATAAAACTAAATAAGAGACAAGTTGTGAAACGCGTTTTTCAGATTCCTACAAATCAGGACAAAAATACCAATCTTTCACAAAAATACGGTCCGTTGGGGTTATATTAAGCCAACCGATAACAAAATTCGGCCGAATTCGTCGTTTTTGTGTGGAAAAATCCCTTGCATACGAACACCTAAAGTGTCTTTGAGCTCTGTTACAGACATTTCTAGATTCTTGGTTTTAAATTCAATTGGTTTACTTTGTGTTACGTTGGTAAGTTATTTCACATAACATCTTAGAACTATTTTACCATTTTAGAGAAGGGGTCCTGAGCCTTCTACACCCACAGACAAACCCATACACACCCTAGATCCAGTACGGAAAAATGTTGTACACAAAAAGAGACAAGATTGTACGTATCTTAGCATTATTGTCTAAGCATTTTAAAGTAGAATGAGTTTGTTCGCTCTTCGCAGATGTTAGCGCACATAAAAGTGACACGATTTCATGTCGAAATCTGTCTACAATTATTCATTTTAGTATTAGTCAATTTTGTATTATGTAATTTTATTTCTGTACAGGGCCTCATCCCATTGTAGAAAATGTAATGGGTAGAAAAGTGCATAGCACGTTTTTACAAACAATACAACATCCATACAAACATATGGTACTAAGTTAAGCTGGATACATATTCATCTCGTCGCTTGAAAACTTTCAAAAGATACAGAGCTAGTTGATAAATGATGTGACAGTTTGTGTAGCGACGAAGTAATCCCAGACCGTCAGTATTTGCATAGGGTTATTGACAAAAGATCAGCTTTTAGATCATTATAAAACGTACATATAAAAACGAAGTGAATTTCATTTTCTACCATTTTCTAAAAATTCATTTATCTAACTGTATTGTTGTGTGTCTGCCTAATTCAACATTATGTTTATGACCAAAACAGAGAAAACTCGTCAATATATATTTTCGTCTATAATTGCTTGCCAATAAATCTCCGAGGTTATAGTACTACTTTGATTTTCCCGAAAGAAACAACAGCCTGGATGATTGTGAAATTGAGGCATGCCATTCTTGCTAACAACTATTGTTTATTCTTCGAGTAAATATCTCTAGGACATTTGCAGTATCTCCAAATTGTTTTTCAAACCAGACAATGCCGAAACCATATTTGAACAGGAGATTTTTAAGTGGGTTTCCCAAGTAAGTCTGCCGGTCTCGTTTAATCGTTTAAGCATGACATAACATGTTTTGGGGTTCCAGCTATTTTTAACTACAAGTAGTTTTAACCAATATGATTAATACAACGCTTGAAATAACCCCAGCATAATGCCAGCCTTCCACATTCGTCCAACAACGCTACATTGTTTGTACAACTATTGATGCTAAGTAAGAAATAGCTGGCACAAGAATTGCATCCAACAAATTAAATTCACTAACCAATGGCATACCACCAAGTTTCTTACAGTATGTAATTTGTTTAGTTCACTGTAAATCTGTTTTTAGTGGGTTGTAAAATAATATTCATATAGTGGCAGTTTAGCAGCAGTCCCAATAGACTTCAATGAATACATCTTCTTTTTATGAACCCACTAAAAATATAGTAAATTTTCTTAGACATCAAAAAAAACAACGTGTAAACAAAATAATAGTTTTAGAGCTGAAGCAACACTGTGGGGTACATTGTTGGCTCAAGAAGCTCTTCGACTTATACAACTCGTGATGATAAATCTTTTGCCTTTTTTATAATGATCTGTTCAACCCGTAGATGTACACTATTGTCCAATAACACATGCTACACGTACTAATACAATAAGTTGACTACATTTGGCTGATACAAAACAGTATATATGCCATCATTAACTTGAAGAATACAAAATTAATGAACCAAACTAGGAAAGTATAGTGCCATGTTGTCTTGTCAATCCCGTTCGATCCCCACACTTTACTAACTGAGCGAACACTAGCACAAGACAAACGGCCCTATTCAGGACCACCACATCATTCAGAGAGTGACTACCATTACATTATTGTTTCAATGTTGTTTTAATATTTAATATCAGCTGCTTGAACGCGATCTTCGTTACATCATCGCGGAATCACAGAATAAAAGCTGATACTGATGTTGAGCTGAGATGGCATAACTTCACAATT